GGCTGCTTGGGGTGCGCTGAGCCTCATGCCTCCTGGGTTCCCAGGGAGGGGAAGCAGGAGCCGCAAGTCCTCTGAGGAGGGCTCAGGCCCAGGGCCCACACAGCTTCCCTGCACTGCTGCACGCACTGAGTCTGCAGGACAAGCCACCGGCCAGTGGAGGTCCCTGTGGGCGGAGATGCACTCCACCTCTTCACAGGCAGAGCGGTGTGCAGACACGGGGGTGGGGGGTGGCGGGGAGGTTGGCACAGGTCACGGCAGATATGCTAGCACACGGGTCCCATGACGGCTTACACACCTTCTGTCATTGTGCATCTCTAGTTCTCTCCTTTCAGTAGTTTTCAAGTACAACCCCCCCCCCCCCCCGCCCCACATTTCTATCTCCTCTTGACTTCGGTTGCTAGAAGGTAGGACACCACTGTCCAGCTTGAACTTCTTATTACACTGCCCTTGAACTCTTGAGTTTCCTGTGAACTGGAAGATAGGACAGAAGACCTGATTTAGATGAACCATTACTTACAACAACATTCTGATCCTTTGATCCATTGATGAGCCTGTGTTTGGCAGTGATCATTTGCTGCCTGGACAGGATGAAAATCTTAAAATAGGAATTAGATCAAGGTATTCTTCACTCAGAATCCCCTACAGGCTCTTGGTTCTTGTTTGCCAAAGTCCTTAAAGTGGCCTGACAGGCCCACCCGATTCTCCCACCTCCAGTTATGACCTCATTTTCTCATACCCCATCCCCCACACCTAATCCTCCTGTCACACTGGCCTCTAACTTCTTCAATCTCACACCGCCTTTGGGGCTCTACTCTTCTTCAGGTATCCATGTGACTCCTGCCTTCTCCTTAAGGGCGCTTTCAGGATCCTTCTTTGTCCACTCCATTGTACCCCACCCTGCCTCTAACCAGACACCTTCTACGTTGGTCTCCTGTGGCTGTCATAACCAGTCACCACAAACATGGTGTAAAACAGGAATAGTTTGGGGCGCCTTGATGGCACACAGGAGCTGCTCAATTTGATTTTGGCTCAGGTCCTGACTGAAGCCTGGTTCCAGCCCTGTATTGCTTCCCAGTTGACAATGCAGGTCCTCCTTGGGATTCTCTCTCTCCCTCTCTCTTTGCCCCTCCCCTGCTCATGTTCTCTCTCTCTCTCTCTCTCTCTCTCAAAAAAACAAAAAACAAAAAATAAATGAATGAATGAATGAAGCAAACTGGAAACTTACTCTCACAATTCCAGAGAGCAGAAGTCCAAAATCAAGATGTCAGCTGAGTTGTGCTCCCTCCAGAGGCTCTAGGACAGATTTGCTTGTTTCTCCCTCAGTTTCTGGTGGCTTCAGCCATTCCTTGGCTTGTGGCCACACCCCTGCGGCGTCTGCCTTTGTGATCACACGTCTGCTTCCTTTTCTCTGTGTAGCTCTCTCTTTTTAAGTGTGCAGTTCAGTGACATAGTGTTGTCAAACCATTCTCCAAAACTTTTCATCTTGCAAATCAGAATCTGTCCATCAGACAACTCCCCATCCTCCCCTGCCCCCAGCCCCAGCACCCAGCATTCTTCTCTGTCTCTACTAATTTGACTACTTTAGATAGCCTCTTGTAAGTGGAATCATACAGCATCCATCTTTTGTGACAGGCTTACCTAACATAACGTCCTCAAGGTTCACCCATGTGGTAACATTGAAGAATTCCCTTCCTTTTTCAGGCTGAATGATATTTCATGGTGTGTATATACCATGTTTTCTCTCTCGTCTGCTTGTCCGTTGATGGACTTTTGGGTCGCCTCTACTCTTGGCCACTGTGAGCAGTGCTGCTGTGAGCCTGGGCGTGCCCAGTGCCTTTCCAAGATCCTGCCTTCATCACGTTTAGAGATCTACCCAGCAGGGGGATTGTTGGGTCATTGGGCAGTTCTGGTTTTAATTTCTTGAGGTACCTGCATATTATTTTCCATAGTGGTTGTACCATTCACAAAGCCACACAGAGCTCACAGGGGCTCTGATTTCTTCACATCCTCACCAACATTTGTTTTATAGCAGCCTTCCTGCGGGTATGCGGGTATCTCTGTATCTTTTATAAAGACACTTGTCATTGGACTTAGGGCCCACATGAATAAGCAGCAAGATCCTTAAGTACATTTGGAAAGACTCCCCAAGTAAGGTCACATTCATAGCTTCCAGGGATTCAAACACAGATGACATTCAGCCCCTGCATTCCTTAACAGCTTCCCTCCTTTATTTTTCCCCTTGACACTGACCTCCAGCTGACAAGCTATATGTTATTTATTGAAGGGCAATAATCAAAATAAATCCACAAGGACAACGATTTTTGTTTTCACCGTTGTGTCCCCAGGGCTTAGAATAGTGTGTCTCCAGGGGTGCCTGGGTGGCTCAGTGAGTGAAGCATCCAACTTCAGCTCAGGTCATGATCTCATGGTTCATGGGTTTGAGCCCCACATTGGGCTCTGTGCTGAAGCTCAGAGCCTGGAGTCTGCTTGGTATTCTGTGTCTCCCTCTCTGCCCTTCCCCAGCTCACACTGTCTCTCTCTCAAAAATAAACATAAAATTAAAAAAAAAAAAGGTAAGTGCGTCTGGCACAATTAGCTGCTCTTAGATATTGGTTGAGTGAGGGGGTAGCTAGTTTAGGTAAGTGTTGGAAGAAATTGCCACACCACCTTTGAGGAGAAGTTTTTGGGCCTGGGGATTTAGATTTAGATTACCTAACTTAGATTTTCTCCTGTGGGTAATGCTGTCTCTTTAAGATTACCCGTTACTTAGGACAAAGTTTAGGGTTTGTCTTTATGAAAAGAAAGCCCACAAGGGGTACCTGGGAGGCTCAATCCATTAAGTGTCTGACTCTTGATTTCAGCTCAGGTCACGATTTCACGGTTCAGTTCGTGAACTTGAGCTGCACGTTAGGCTCTGCGCTGACAGGGAGGAGTCTGCTTGGGATTCTCTCCCTCTCTCTGCTCCTCCCTTGTGTGAGCATGTGTGCGCTCTCTCAAAATAAACTTTAAAAAATGCACAAAATTATAAATGTAAATTCCATTTCTCAAAATCAGAAGCGAGGAACCCACTTAAGACTACCAGAACGGTGTTAAAAGGGCTTAGAGAAACTGGATGTCTTATGAGGCGATTTGAGTATCTTTCAAAAGGAGTAGTGATTGTCATGTATGCACACATTTAGTTTTACTGAAAATCCTCCCAGGTTCTGGATTTAATGGTTTACAGGATGTAGCAGTGACAGACGCATGTCAAATGACATGTGAAGATGCAACCAGCCAAACCCACGATGTCCAACGATGCAGGTGCTTTAGTACATAAATGGCACCATCATCATCAACAGCAGAGACGGGAGGGGAGTTGTTACATATTAAAAGAGATTATCATGAATGCACTGGGTTTACCTTGTTTGGATCCTGATTAAACAATCTCAAGTTTTCTGAGACAATGGGGAAACTTCTCATACGCCAAGTATTAGAGGGCATTAAAGAATTGTATTTAATTCTGTAAAGTCCTTGTCAGAGACACACCCTGAAGTACTGATGGGTGAAATAGATGTGATGTCTGGAAAAATATACTTAATATACTTTAGGGGGAAAGTGCAGGAAAAAATGAAACAAAGGCCAAAAATTGATTTTTGCTGAAGGCAGGTGATGAGTATATGAATGTTGCCTGTAATTTATATGTTTATGTGTGTTTGGAAAGTATAAAAAATGTAGCACCCTCTGCTGTGATTGCATGTCCAGTAATGGTGTGCTTTGGTTTCCGTCTTCCTCTGCCCCGCAGAAGGCGGTGTTACTAGATGTAAACACGCCTCATGGCCCTGCTCGTTCTGAGTTTTTCTCATTCTCTAGCCCAGATTCTTGCCAGTTTGCACCAGCTCGTTCAACGAAAGGACAAGGGAGAGCCGCAACAGCAGGCAGGGAGAGTCCTGTAACCCGAAGCCTGGCCCGAGATTTGACCGGAGGTCAGACTGCCCAACGTGGCCAGAGTGTGTTCACTGTCCGTTCCATTAGACAGAAGTGAGCCACATACTATATTTAAAAACCTGGAGGTTTCATGCCAAACCCAAATTTCCAGGTTCAGAAGAAGAGAGATTTAAAAACAGGCTTTGGGTCCTCCCCCACTAGAGCTGCCTGGGAGGCCCTGCCTTGCCGACCGCGTTCTTTAATCCCCAGGAGTGTTGCTGCCCAGCTCGGCAAGGACGGTATTGCAGGGTTTCTTTGTGTTTAGCAGGAAGGCGCTCAGCACAACCGCGCTAGGCCCCAGGTGTACCTCCCAGCGGCCCGACAGCCCGAATCCAGGTCACGCACGTCCCAAATCTTCACCTTGGGGACAGCGAGCAGTCCACAGGCTGAGAAAGCCACGGGGACTGCGGGTACAAAACGAGGCCGTCGCCACATCTCACCCCGCAGGCCCAGGGTCCAGTAAAATCTTGACTAAGGGACTCTTGTCGCCATCAGTCCCCGTACCGGTCAACGTGGTCTCTGTCCCCGCACCCGCTCAGCCAGTGTCTCCGACGCAAGGGTCGGGAAACGTCGGCACAACCGCGGGTCACGCCAGAGCCCCACTAGCTCCAGCCGCCCCACCCTTTCCCCCGCGCGGGACGGGGCCCCAGCTCCTTCCCCGGGGCCGGGCCCTCGGCCAGTGCTCGCGACGCCCCCCACGCAGGCGGGACCCGACGCCAGGCGAAGAGTCGGGGAGCGAGCAAATCAGCGCGCGAGCGCTCCGACCCCGGCTGCGCAGCGTCTCTTGGAAGTGGGGCGCAGGGGTGCGCGTGCGCACAGGAGGGCGCGCTAGGTAGATGTCAAGGAGAGCAACATCTCCGGGGAAGCGGGAAGGGGCCCCGGGCGTCCCCCGCATGCGCATTCTCCTCTTCGGCCGTGCTGCACGGCCTGGAAGACCCGCGGACCCGGACGGACGCAGGGCCGGCGTCACAGCGCATGCGCACTTTGCGTCTGGCCCCGCTGCGGCGCCGGGACTGGGGCGCAGGCGCGCGCATGCGCGGCGGGCCGAGGGCGTTCGTTGGCAGGTGTCGGGGCGGGTGGCGGCGGGCGATGGGACAACTGGCGCTGCTGCTGCTCGCGCTGTGCGCAGCTGGCGCCCGGGGCCTCTACTTCCACATCGGCGAGACCGAGAAGCGCTGCTTCATCGAGGAGATCCCCGACGAGACCATGGTCATCGGTCAGGCGGGGCGAGGGAGGACAGGGCCCAGCGTGTCCCCCAGACGCGGTCACGGCGCCCCGCGGAGCGTGGGAGTCGCGCGGAGCAGGCGGGTCGTGACGGCTCTGTCTGCTCCGCAGGGAACTACCGCACCCAGATGTGGGACAAGCAGAAGGAAGTCTTTCTGCCCTCGACCCCGGGCCTGGGCATGCACGTGGAGGTGAAGGATCCCGAAGGCAAGGTAGGGCCCCCTATGGCCGTGCTCAGGCTGGGGCAGGGGCGCTTTGCAGACTCCGTCGGGCTTCCTTCGCTAGAGCTGTCTGGGACGCGCGGAGCTCAGAGGACGTGAGCGTGCCCTGGGACAGGTGACAGTACAGGTAGGGGCTCTCTCTGTCCTGTTGCAGGTGGTGCTGTCCCGGCAGTATGGCTCGGAGGGCCGCTTCACCTTTACTTCTCACACTCCCGGTGACCACCAGATCTGCCTGCATTCCAACTCCACCAGGATGTCCCTCTTTGCTGGCGGCAGACTGGTAAGAGAATGTTCTCTTTGGCCACAGAATCTTGAGTTTGATTTTGTCAAGTTTTGAGTTCATGACCATTGTTGTTTGTGACACTTTGTGACACGGTCACAGGGAGACAGACGCAGCACTCCTATCCCACAGCCAGGGACCAGAGGAGGTTCTGTAGCCTGGAACAGAGTCGGAGGCCCCCTGGGCTCAGACACTGTAACCTCAGAGGGTTTCTGACCTTAGGACCCTGGGGCGCTCACCCCGTGTCTTTGTAGCGTGTGCACCTAGACATCCAGGGTGGGGAGCATGCCAACAACTACCCCGAGATTGCCGCCAAGGATAAACTGACAGAACTGCAGCTCCGAGCTCGACAGCTGCTTGATCAGGTGGAGCAGATCCAGAAGGAGCAGGATTACCAGAGGGTAAGCACGCGACTGTACTGGGACATGGCTACTGACCTTTGTATCCTCTGTGCCTACTGAAGTTTCTGCTTGGGGCCTCTCCTACTTGGGGGATCAGCTGACACGGGGGAGTATCGGTCTCCATAGCTGTCTTCAAGCTTTGTAGACCAAGCGAAGAGAGGACAGTCCCCAGTCTAGCAGTAGCTGTTGCCCACCCAGCAGGGATGCTTGCGGAGGGCAGCATGCCACCCTGGGGCCACTGCCAGTGGGATCAGGGGCGGTATTTCAACGTTTTTATTTTTATTTTTGGGACAGAGAGAGACAGAGCATGAACGGGGGAGGGGCAGAGAGAGAGGGAGACACAGAATCGGAAACAGGCTCCAGGCTCCAGGCTCCGAGCCATCAGCCCAGAGCCCGACACGGGGCTCGAACTCACGGACCGCGAGATCGTGACCTGGCTGAAGCCGGACGCTTAACCGACTGCGCCACCCAGACGCCCCTTCAGGGGCGGTATTTCAAAAGGCACTTGGTCCTGAAGTTCAATCCTGTGCAGGAGGGAGGAGCCTAACAATAGCCGGCGACGTTTCCCCTGTGCCTCTAACCCACCTCTGTTGTCTTGCGCAGTATCGTGAGGAGCGCTTCCGTCTTACCAGCGAGAGCACCAACCAGAGGGTCCTGTGGTGGTCAATTGCTCAGACGGTCATCCTCATCCTCACTGGAATCTGGCAGATGCGTCACCTCAAAAGCTTCTTTGAGGCCAAGAAGCTGGTGTAGTATCCTCTCCATCCGATCCTCCCGTCACATCAATTTTTGGTACTTTCCCCACCTGATAACTTCTCCACCTGGATTTTGAGGGAAAAAAAAATGAAAAAAGACCACAAGCCACATTGTTTCCATGGCAACAAAGCATTCGCGTCAGCCACTTGTGCACACTGGTTCTCAAGAACCCAGGACATTGGTCTGAGTTTCCAAAGGTCCATTTGGGGTCTGTTTGGAGTCGGAACTGACCCGGGACTTAGTCTTGGGTCTTTTATATCCAGGGATTCCCCCCCATCCTGGCACAAAAAGAGCAAGTGAAAAAGTGTCTGCTACCCCTTTAATTTCTCTCTATTTCTGCAGTAGGCAGCTGAAACGCCCAGCCAGGGGCGGCCCTGCCTCCCTATTCCCTTGTTAGTCCTGGGTTTGCTCAGTGGCTTTGTGAATGTAAATAAGGGGCAGAGGCCTCAGAGAATTGCAATGTTTTTCTATATATTAGAACTATTTTTTGATAAATTATATATATTTTACTTCCTAGTTGAAGTGTTCCTGCCTGTGTTTGACTAGGTGAAAACACCCATGCAGCTTCCCCTTCGCTGTTTCTCCAAACAGTTTTAAGGGCCGCAGCAGCTCACAGACATCATAGGTGCTCTCACTGCCTCCCCAGGCGGCTGGGCAGAGACTTCCCTGAGGCACCTGCGATTTCCATCACGCAGGGTCTCTGAGAGTGAGGCAGTCACAGAGCTAGCCCCGGCGGGGCCCTCCTACCCTCTTCTTTTCACTTTGATTTAAGCCATGGTAAATGTTTTTTCGCAGGAGCCACGTTTGGTTCTTCACACAGATTTTTCCAGTGAAATAAAATGTGTTGTAGTAGCTGTGTTTGAAATGAAGTAAGAGGTGGTGAGCAGAGGGGAGGCACGAAAGGAAGTGGAAGAAAGGCCCTTGGCCTTGCTGGCTCCCGTGCTGTCCCACAGTGGGCTTCAGTGTGGCCTCATTCTGCAGGGGTTTGGCCGGATGGGTGTCCATGGGTGTGGGACGGACAGGGCAGTTGCTCAGCCACTCACAGAGGTCGGCCACGCAGGCCCATCAGCAGGGAATCGCGCAAGCAGATGAACTACCTGTTTCTTGGCCCTTGGAATCTTTTACAGATCTTAGTACACTGTCCCCCTGTTGTAGTAAACTTGCCCATTCTTGGCTTTTTCTTTCATGGTTTTATTACATGCATTTGTTCATTTAACATTATTTGACCCACAGAACTAAATCTTTTTCTTTGCATCCCATACTATTCCACATGTGTTCATGTTTTTAATCATAAAAACACATGCAAGTTTGTTTTCTAGGCTTTGTCATTCAATATGTGTAAGCATATTTAAAATTAAGTGTTTCTCCTGTTTCTGATTCTGGATGGTTGTGTAACAGTCCAGTAAGTGAACTACTGTAACTGACTTCTCTAAAATTTCTTTGAATACTTAAAATTAGTTTTCAATTTTTAAAAAAATATTTACTTACTTTGGGGAGAGTGCCAGCAGGGGTGGAACAGGGAGAGGAACAGAGGATCCAAAGCGGGCTCTGTACTGATAGGCTGACAGCAGCGAGCCCAGTGTCGGGCTATAACTCACAAACTGGGAGATCATGTCCTGAGCCAAAGTCAGGTGCTCAACCAACTGAGCCCCCCAGGTGCTCCTAGTTTAAAATTTTCTTAGGTGAGAATTAACACAGGGAAAAAGAGGTGGCCCTGGAACTTGTTAGCCACGCGGACCTCTGGCTTGGGGCGCCTGGGGACTAAGGGCTGTGGCCGGGACTGTGGCTGTTCTGCTGGAGCCCGGGCTGAGGGAGGGCAGAAGACTACAGCTAAGAACCAGAGCAGGCTTCCAGTCTGTCCACTACAGACACAGTCAAGTGGATCTTGGTTATGCCAGTAGGTCTGTGAGTTCTGGGTTTCTTCTGTGAGGTTTTGAAAGGAAGGGGCATGGACCACTGATGGGGCAGGTCAATGAAAGATGATGGGCCAGCAAGTGGTGGCTGTGGAGAGGAGGATCTTCGTGCTGGTGTGTGACATTCACATACCTTGTGGTCTATGAAAGGTTTTTTGTTTTTTGGGTTTTTTTTTTAGAAAACAAGTTTGGCTAGATTCAGGGAAATCTGATTTATTCACAATACTACCCTGATTACATTCTGAAATTCTTCCTTTCTTAGTATGACATCCTTAACCACAAAAAAACGGTAGGGGGAGAGGCCTGGTCTCCAGCTCTGGGCAAAGGAAAATGAGGGTTGCTATTAACTAGGGAGATTATTTTGGGTTACCTGGGTGAGTCCAGCGGCATCACAAGGTTCATTGAAAGTGGAGGCAAAAGACAGCCATGAGACGTGAGGACTCAACCCTCCATTGCTGGCGCTGAGGATGAAGGAAGTGGACCCCAGGCAAGCAGGGCAAAGCAAATAATTATTTGAGTCTGCAGAAGCAAATGCAGTGTTGCCAAAGTTCTTTCAGCCTGGTGAGACCTCGTAAGAGTGAACTACAGAACCATAGGACAATAGTTGTGTTGTTTTATGCTGCTAAGTTTATGCTGATTTGTTACAGCAGCAGTAGGGAATACAGGTGGCCACCGAGAATCCTTATTTTTAACCACGTTGTGCAGGTAACTGATGGGTAGCCACATTCGGGAACTCCAGGCCGGCCGACCTTCCTCTCTCTCATGCTAGTCGTTTTTCCAGCCCTCATCCCAGTACGGCCTAGGTGCTGCAGCCTGTCTGTCCTGTGGAGTGCCTCGGGGCCCTGAGCCCTTGTGCTGGTGCATGCAGGGTCACCTGTTTTCTCTGCAAGCCGCCACCCCCTGCTCGGTTCCCACTGCAGCCTGGACTCCACGGACGCCGCAGGTGCCGAGAAGGTGGCCTCAAGCGCGGCGGCCCGGGGGCAGGCGAGGCGCACACACCGCGACCCGGGGGCGGGTTCGGGGGGCCCCCTCCCCGGCGGCGGGTGCACACAGGCAGGCCCCGACGCTAAGTCTCCCGGTGGAGGCAGTGCGGGCGGGACTCCTAGGGCGAGGCTGACAGAGGCAGCGCTAACTGAACGTGGACCCACAGGCAACGACTGCGGACAGGAGGCGGGTCCGGGCCCTTGGTGGGCGGGCGGAGGCGGGCACAGAGAAAACCCCACCAGCGTCCACGCAGCCCCGCCTCCGTCGCCGGAACACCGGCCCGGCCGGGCCTGAAGATGAGGCTCCGCCTGCGACCCCGGACCCTGGGCACAGCCGCAGCCGCACAGCCCAGCCGGAACGCCGGAAGCCCAGGCCGCAGCACTTCCGGGGGGTGTGGCCCATGCGCAGTCGCGCTCTGACTGCGGTGCGTTTGCGCTGGCGTCGCAGAGAGGCGGCATGGCGGACCCAGAGGTGCTGGGCTTCGAGCACATGGGTCTGGACCCCCGGCTCCTGCAGGTACCAGGGAGGGCTGAGGAGCCGGGCCGACGGGGCGGGGGCGGCCACAGCGCCGCGCGCCTCCTGAGCCGCGCCTCGTGTCTCCTAGGCCGTGGCCGACCTGGGCTGGTCGCGCCCCACGCTGATCCAGGAGAAGGCCATCCCGCTGGCCCTGGAGGGGAAGGACCTCCTGGCTCGGGCGCGCACGGGCTCGGGGAAGACGGCCGCTTACGCCATTCCGATGTTGCAGCTGCTGCTCCACAGGAAGGCGGTGGGTCGGGGCGGGAGCCCGGAGGGCGGGAGGGGC